GAAGTCTGTTGATGCTTCAGACCATATAAAGAACTACAAGTATATTTACAAATTATTGAGGGATGTAATCATGGAGGTGGGAGAGCATAATGTTGTACAAGTCGTGACCGACAACGGTTCTGCATTTGTCAAAGCTGGAAAAAAGTTAATGAAGCATCATAATGTGTTTTGGACATCATGTGCAACACATTGTATTGATCTCATGTTTGAGGCAATGGGGAAGAGAGAATGTTGCTACTGTGGTCAAAAGAGCTAGAACGATCACAAATTATATTTACAATCACGGTTGGTTGTTGGCAAAGATGCGTGAATTTTGCAAAGGAGAAATTATTCGTCCAGCTACCACTCGATTCGCCACTAACTATATTGCATTAGACATCCTACTTAAGAAGAAAGCAAGGTTGAAGCAACTATTCACTAGTGACGATTGGGCCAACCACAATTTGAGCCGCTCAAATACAGGTCGTATGGTGGAAAGTATAGTGCTTGATCATGCTTTTTGGACTCAATCAGAACATGTGTGCCAAGTGTTTGAACCTCTTTACAAAGTTTTACGGATCGTTGACACAGAAGTGTATCCTACTATGGGGGCAGTATATGAGTTGATGCGTGTAGCGAATGATGAATTGGAAAGAAAACATGGTGCAAGGTGGGTCATAAAGATAATTGAAGACTGATGGTATAAAACATTATACCACGATTTGCATGCAGCAGGTATAAATTATGTCATAATTTGCAATTCATTTCTTTAGTTGCATAAGTATTATTTCTCTTATTAGAGTATGTGTTTCTTTGAACAACATATTATTTGAATCCCCGATACCAATACAGACCCCGTGTTGGAGATGATGGTAACCTTATACGTGCTGTACATAATGTATACTCTAAATTAGACCCTGCATCACCAGCAGTTGGCCAATTTGGAAATGAGGTACACAATTACTTAAATTATAATAATTACTTTGTTGGATTAAACTAACACGATTTATTGAATTCAGCTAACATGGTTTAAAGATGCAAGAAGAACTTTTGGAGAACCAACATCAGTTGCTGCTCGAACAAATATGTCTCCTAGTGAGTATAAACATATTTCACTATAAGTTTATAATAGAATTTGTTGGAGTTATTAGGCTTATCAACATTCTTTTTCATTGTAGCTGAATGGTGGATCATGTATGGGACCGATGCACCAACTGTGAGAAAGTTAGCAATTAAAGTATTATCACAAACAACTTCCTCATCTGTTTGTGAAAGAAATTAGAGCACATTTGCACTCATACACACAAAGCAAAGAAATAAGTTGTCTCATAGTAGCTTGGAAAATTAGTTTATTGCTACTACAACATGAAGCTTCAAATTCGAGATAAGGAAGCAGAAATAGATCATGTCGACCGTGGTGACCCACTAGATGTGTTTGATATTGTTGGTGAAGATGATGATACAGAGGGTAACCAACTTTTTCAATGGATTAGACCTCTTCATTTAGATGATGATGAAGGCAACCCAGCTCCCAGAGTTGCTGAAGAAGCACGTAATGAAGGGATAAATGTAGAAAGAGTATTAGAGGAGGAGGTGGGATCTAGCAGCGCTGACTCTTTGGAAGAACTTTTGCGCCCAAGACCAAGAAACACTGGAATTTCACCTTCTTCCAATCCTACACAACCACAACATCGTGCTGATACTAATGATAGCTCTAGTACAAGATCAGGAGACTCACCTACCACCGGAGGTGGGAATGATGAAGGACATAGTGGAGCTGGAGGTAGTGGTGGTGGATATGGAAACTATTATGGACCACCTCCCGGATTTATGAGCCCCTTCACTGGTGAGGCAAACTTCACGCATGCAACACAGGATGATGACCATGGCAGTAGGCGGGCAGGACCAGGAATTGGTGCCATAGGGAAGGACTATACTCTCAGAGAAAGAGGCAATGGGATTTTGTTAAGTCAAGAAGATGACTCGTTATCTAGAACTTCGGACTCTGTTGGAGTGGGAAGTAGTAACTATGGTAATACTCATAACCAACCATTTCCCTACCCTTCATATCCCATTCCTGTTGGGATGGAATCGAGCGACTCATGGAAACAATCCGAGACTCAATCTTCAAATGATTTTGCTTATGGACAAGGTCAACTAATCTCAGATCCATATGGGTGGCATGTTAACAATTACATGCAAAACTATTTTGGGGATTTATCATTTGATAACTACTCTTCACAATACACTCACTTTACACATAGAGATGATGAAGATAGTGAAAATTTTGAACCTCATAGGAACTCTATGTGGTACTAAGTCACTCATGTATCTTACCATGCAATGTATAAAGTGTAAAATATTGTACTAATTCATTATATATAAATGATTATGGTGTGTTTAGACTTCTTTCATTAATTACTACATATTTTCTACACTCACAATGTTTGTCAGCTCGCTATATAATCAACTTGATAATGTTAAATCCATCATGCAATGTATTTCCTTCCAATTGTTTGTGATAAACTAATAGATAATTGACTAAATAAACATCCTGCAAAGTTTCAATAAAAATTTCCAATTTTTTCTTACAATTTCCGTGGTTTCCATGTAATTTTTATCGATATCGATATTATCCCGATATTTCCATCGATATTTCCGTGTTTTCGGACTACCGATATTTCCGATATTACCGATATTTTCTTCCTTGGAAGAGAGTGCCAAGAGAGAGAGACTAAAAGATTAGGTTCTCCAAGGGTAAAGAAGAAGAAACGAAATTCAAAAGCTGGTGATGGATTCTTGGGTGATGTGAAAGAGTCAGATGGTTTTAATTATGAAACCACCCACTCATCAGATGGTTTTAAATATGAAACCACCCACTTGCGTGGGTTTTTTTTTATATAGTTTTAAAAATTTGGGATATATATTATATGTATATAAATGTTATATAAATTATAAATTATAAATCATTTAGATAATATTTTGTTTTTTTTTCCTAGGCAAGCATATTAGATATGTACATAAAACATGAACATATGTATGTTCTTCTATAAGAAATAACATATTATTCAATAATTATTTATATCTGATATAGTAAATTTAATTAATTTATATAATATATAAGAAATTTACTTAAATCTGCCTAGACCGCCTAGGCCGCCTAGGCGCCCACCTAGATCCCGCCTAGCAGCCTAGGCGCTAAGAGTTCTGCCCGACTAGCGCCTAACGTTTTTTAGGACCTTGCTTTTATTCCATTAACTTTTTCTTACGAGCATTCCAAGGTATAATCTTCGTGGTTTAGTCACCAGACATAAGAAGAAGGCATGCAAGGAAGCTCATGTGACATTTTAAATTGCTTTTAAAATGCCTATTTTGGTCTAAACTTAGATTGGAGTTAAATAACACACATAGTTAAGGCATATATGGTTCTTGTTTACAAAACAGTCTAATGTTTGGGTGGATTGGATAAACGCATCTTTATGTTAAATTTTTTTAGACAGTCAACATTCCCCAGGCTTGCTCTTGGAATTGAAGCTTTGAAGTTGAAAATTTTAGTTTGACAAACACACATTATCAGTCTGGGATTCATCGTATTTACAGAACTTATTTGCATATTTTCTTTGCACAATGAAAGAACAAATAAAATCTGAAAAATAACGTAATCACCATGCGCTTTGAAGTAATCTTTCGTCTTAATGGTAATAAATTTTGGGTGAAGCTGAGACTTTTTTTTATTTATTTTTATTGGGTAATCGAAGCTGAGACTTTTAATTAGACCGTTCATCTACCATATTATTTGATATGGGGCTACAACTTTGTTTTGGCACCCAATTTTGGGACCGAAGTGATATCGGGCATGTTGGGATAAGAAATAATGCTTTGGTTAGGTAAATATAGAATGCATTATCTTCGAGTTAAAATTGTGACCTCTAAATTACAAGTGAAGATGAATACAAATTTATACAAGTTGGTTCAATCTCAATGGCTTAATTTTTTTTAACGAACGATATTATCTACCCTAAAAGGATGATGAAGTGGACTAAACCTCACATTAAGTTTGTTATTATAATATGATTCAAATTCGCGGAAGTACTAGTGACCAATGGGCCACTAGCTTTAAATTTAAAAGTAGTGTTATTCGGGAAATTTGGAAAAATAACCAAATTTTAGATCTCATATATAATTATAACCACTATTTTAATTTTATGATAATTATAACCAAAACTTGATGTAAAAGTATTAATATATCCTTAATACTAGGGTTTCTCATAACAACCACAACACAACCTTTAAACTACCTTAAAATGTTGAGGCTACTGAATTAGCTTTCTCTTTAATTAACAAGACAATCTATGAGAATGTTCTTAAGAAGGTACTAATTTCATGGCTAATTATTATTTTTTTAATTAAATACTTGGATTTAGTGTTTCATTGACTAAATTGCATACATTCTGATATATTTTTCCAATGGATGAAGAAAGAATACGAAATTGCATATGCAAAGTGAATAGTGAAAACAAAAAAGTGATGAAGATTAATTTCTCATTTTAAAATAGTTTAAAGGTTTGTTTTGGTTGTTGTCAGAAACCATAATATTAATGATATATTAGTACTTTTACATCAAGTTTTGGTTATAATTATCATAAAATTAAAATAGTGGCTATAATTCTATATGGGATCTAAAATTTGGTTATTTTTCCAAATTTTCCGTGTTATTCACACCTTTTTTTTTTTAATCTCTCCACACCTTGTTATATTTTTGTTTATTGATTTTATTTAGGAAAATGATAAACACACACCTTTTATAGCTTCCTACACACCCCTGGCTAATCATGTCCGTTGTTTTCATTTGATTTATTCAATCCGATGGCCTGGAACAAAGAGGGGTGTGGGAAAAGCTATAAAAGGTGTGTGAAAATCAGCTCCCTTTATTTAATTTATCAGATATGAATCGAAAATTAAGAAGAAGTATAATAAGAAGATATGTAATAAGTAAAAGTGACTGTGTAGCACTACCAAACTTTAGTTACCAACAAATTCAAATCGTATTCACAATTCGTAGAAAGGAACCCCATAAACTTCACAAACAAATTTCACCAAGAATCAACCCAAAAAAGTGTGATGTACATAAACAAAAAACCAAAAAAAATGAAAAGAAAAAAAAAACAATAAATCACGCCAAAAGAGGAGTAGTGTTGGAATCATTATCATAGTCATGAATCTCATGATACAAATCGTCACTATCATCGTCCCCGCAATCGTACACAGATCCAACCAGCAGCAGCTGATCCTCCAAGTACCTCTGCAGCAGCCCCATCTCTTCTTTCCCGTCTTCCTTCCCCGCCGCCGCCGCCGCACTTCCACTGCCGCGTCCTTCTTCGCACCGGCGCATCCGCTCCTCCTCCTCCCCGGCCTCATCGTGAGAAGTCTTTATACGGCGGCGGCAGAGGCGTAGGCAAAGCTCGGCGGCACAGAGCAGAGGGAAGATGGCGCAGAGGAAAGGGATGAGAATCGGAGAGCAGAGGAGAAGGACAAGGTAGCGGATACGGTGAGCTCGGAGCCATGTTGTGGAGGAGGAGGATGCGGCGGCGAGCATGATTATGGGCGTGGCGAGGATTGGGAAAGGGGAGGGAGAGGGAGAGATCGTGGCCGTTGAAGTCTGGTAATCGAGGAGATTGACTTCATAGCGTATTTGTCGGAAACGACGGTGAGCCTGAGCAGCTTTGGGTTTCGAAGTGGGGGATGGGAGTGGGGCATCACGATTCACATGAGTTGGGTTGGGGGATTTTTGTACATGTGGGAGCCATGTGAACCTCCTCTGACGTCCTCACTTTCCATTTGGTTCCACTGGAAGAGGATCCTCTCCTGACCTCATGATGGGATCCTCCTGACCACGAAATCCAGACCATTCAAACTTAATCTAACAATTGTAATTACTATAACTTTAGAGGGTCCATTGTTTGGAGCCGTTAGATTAAATTTAAATGATTTGGATTTCGTGGTCAGGAGGATTCTCATCCTGAGCTCAGGAGAGGATCCTCTTCCGTTGTCACTTGCATGTTTTGATTCCTAGCATCAGTGAATGATAAATAATGGTAAGAGGAAAGCTAAAATACATATGTAATGTTCTTCGGCTTCTAGAAGTGTGGATTGCTGTGATTAAGTCATCAGCTGATTTTAAAAAATAAAATAAAAAGAATATGTTGCAGTCCTATTAGATTATGAATGTGATTGTGTAAATCATAGTATATCTTGAATATCTCTTATATTCTTATTAGGAGTTGATTACCTATTAAGAGTTGTAATTCTAAAAGGGTAAGGAATTAGCATTCCCTACTGCTATAAATAAAGGCATAATAGGGTGGAATATTATACACCTCACAATTACACATCTCTCTCTTTCTCTCTACTATTGTCGCACCCTCTCTCTTTATATGACCTCCATAATTGTTCAGTAAATTATGTCTACAACACGTTATCATCACGCTCTTGACACTGCGCTAAAGAGAGTTTGATCTTCTGTGAAATCTCATCCCTGGAATTTCACTATTTATTACGTATTTAGTAATTTAAATTCGTATTTCACAATTACGTTATCTTTATTAGTTAATTTTAATTCCACTAATTATAAGTTTAGTAATTGATTAGTTGTCGAGTTGAAAGTTTCATAATCAATCTTTATCTTTCGTTGATATTTCGAAGTTACAACTAGTGTTTTTAAATAGATCTTGAATCCACGAACACATAGGCCAAAGCCGTTTGCGAGTTCGAATTATAACGGTATAGTTACAGACGTTTGAAGTTGTGAACTTTAGATTGTGGGAAGCTTGGGTTAAAGGTTAAGTTAGTAAAGAAAAAAAAAATGGGGACCTATCAGATTTTTAAAGGGTATGAAAGTACCCATTTGGAAAAAAGAAAAAGGAATGCCACTTCCCCCCCCCCCCCCATTTCGTGAAACCGTGAGGTAGACCAAACCCTTTTTTTATATTTTCAAACCGGCCAATTTTAGGCCAATTCCTACCATTTTTCTTCTGATTTTTCCTATCTTCTTCACCTGTAACTTGCTCAACTACCTTCCTCCTTCCATCTCTACCAAAAATCAAGGGTTTTTAAGGTCTATTTCATGTAGAACTCCATAGGAGAATCAGGGGTTCTCGACGACGAATTGTCATTCCGGAGAGTATCACCATTCTCCACACCCTTAATCAACTTCCCTTGGACCCAAGAACAAGACCAACTGGTGGTTAGGGCGTTGGAACACCAAGGAAGCCGAATTGAAGAACACCCACCTTAGGGTTCATTGGGTGCGAGCCAATTTGAGGGCCTTCCTGGCCAAATTGGACTCGGCCTAGGTATAAAGTTTACTTTACTTGTTAAAATCTTTATTCTTGTAAAATTTGAGAATTTTTGGAGAAAGTCAATTTTCCGGTATGTGACATTCGATTTATGAAAATGTTGTTGGTTGAGTATTTTATCGATAAGCTCCGTCACTTGATTATTCTAACGATTGATGATCTTACCATTGAATTGACACCAATTTTAGTATGCTATGGTAGATAATGTTTAAGGACCTTAGGGACTTACAAGTGAAAATCTAGTGATTGGATATTACGGAATAAGTGACGTAAGATCATGGACCCTACCTTAGAGTGATGGTTCGATTCCTCATTAAATGTTGTTGTGGGAGATATATGAGAGTTTTTAAGTATGTGAATTATCAAGAGAACTCTAAATGTGGCTTGTACCTTGTTAGGCGGTGATAGGACGTGATGCCTTGACTCTCGTGTTTGAGTGCATTAGTGTGGATCTCAGGTGAGTGATTTTAATCTATGTGTTATGGTTATTGCTTTGAAATCTTTTGTGCTAATAAACTTTGTGGTTGCACTATGGATTCTTAAAATAGTTCTGATGCTAAATAATTGTTGCTATTAAGTTGCCGTCGATCTACTTATGAAACATTAGGTGACTTGGATATTTGAACTGTGATGGATTGTGTTTTGGGATATATATGTTATGGTTGATAAAAATGATGGATTGTGTTTTGGGATATATATGTGATGGTTGATAAAATGATGGATTGTGTTTTGGGATATATATGTGATGGTTGATAAAAATGATGGATTGTGTTTTGGGATATATATGTGATGGTTGATAAAAATGATGGATTGTGTTTTGGAATATATATTTGATGGTTTGATAGAAATGATGTATTGTAAAGGACCAGTACCCTAGTGTCATGGGGTTAGGTGACACTAAGTCTGCACCACGTAGCAATGGTCCTGGATGGTTCTGCTTGGTTAATCCGCATTAGGGGATCATACTATTTGTGGATCGCGCTTGGTTAATCCGCGTCGGGCGATCCTTATATCCTAGGTATGGCCATACACATTTAAAGGTGATCATGCTTGGTTAATCTGCATTGGGTGATCACCTTCCAATAGTTATAGGAGTGATTCCGCTTGGTTAATCCGCATTTGGGGGGGTCATTACCTATTTGGTTATTTTCTCAAGGGTGACTCTGCTTGGTTAATCCGCATTGGGGGGTCACTACCTATTTGGTTATTTTCTCAGGGGTGACTATGCTTGGTTAATCCGCATTGGGGGTTAACTACCTACTTGGTTACTTTCTCAGGGGTGGCTCTGCTTGGTTGATCCGCTTTGGGGGGCCATTTCCTATTTGGTTACTTGCGTAGGCTTTGGCTGAACGACGTCTCTCTAACTCTAGTTTTGAATATATCTGTGAATGTGGCTTTGAGAACTCTGAGTTTTGATTTAGAAAACTTGTTGGATGTATGTGTGACTCCTTTGGAGGTTGTAAGGTTTTGTAGCGATTTCTTATGAATGATTTATATTTAAGGTTTATAAATTGTGAATGATGACTGGTTTTATTATTAGTATTATATACTTTGTATTATTTGTTGCTCACACAAGCTTCGTAGCTTATCCGGGTTGTTGTTTGCCCGGTGCACCATTTCGATGATGTAGGCACTGATCTTATAGGTAACAAGTCTGAGTATCTTCGAGAGGTTCGTAGGTGGGGTAGCTGTACAGTTATCAGAGATTTGGAGTGCTAGGTTACCCCTATATCCTATCTTGTACTTTATCTTTAGGACCTTCTTTTGAGCACCTCAAACTTGTTCTTAGTAAAGCAAATATTATGCTTATTTTTGGGATGTACTTATTTGTAATTATTTTGTGGAGAACTTAGCCACCTTCATATTATTTTGGTTTATCAGTTAAGGTATTTTATTCCGTAACTTATACTGTATTCAACGGGCGTTATTTTCTTTGTCACGTGTCGATTCTCAACGTATGTTGGGATTGGGGTGTGACATCTTCAATCAGGGGAGTATTACGTTTTAATCAATTTTTATTAGGATTAATTTATTATTTTATTGAATTGATCTACATGCTATTGATTCAATTAATTTTTCTATGTTGAATGTGATACAACGCATTGGAGATGCAATTCTGGCTTTTCGAGAAGGATCTTCTACAAATTCAAAGGCTTTTGTTGTTTTCTGCCAATCAGGTATGCTTAAAATAAAGTAAGATATTTGAAACAATCATGAAGCATGAAAACATTCCCCATGATGCATGAACCCCCTACATTTATATTTACCTTCCGATATATATATTGTATATGTTCAAATATTTGTCAATATATATTTGTTTCAAGCATTACGCAATTATATTTGCTATGTGGAATATGTGAGTCAAAATATAAAATGAAATTAGAAGCAATTCTAGGGTTTCTTGAACCCTAAAAAATTGAAAGAAAAAAAAAGGAAACAAGTGGGGAAATTGGGCTCTGTTTGCTAGACCCAACTTGCAGCAAGCTTTGCTTGCTGGGCTCTCATCCCGCGTGCACCCAGGTCTGACGCCTGCTCACTCCAATGCCAGTGCACATAATTAGGCTTGGTCCCCACATCCCAATATGACACCAACCACATGGCTGGGCTCCTGCGCCTTAACTAGGCCAGCTCCATGCTGGGCCCGAAGTCCAATGTGTCCCCTAGGCCCAAAAACCAGCAGCCTTGGCTGCTGGGGCCTTCCAACCCATCAGGCTCGTGCCTTACAGCCCACTCCCGAGGCCTTTAGGGCCCTGCCTTTTTTTGCTCACCCCTAGCCCAATTTTTGGGCTATGGTATTTTCAACAATATGCTATTATTTAGCATTTTAAATAAATTTAACCCGAATGTTATTATTATTTTTGCTTCTACAATTGACCCTGTTTGGTCCCAATTGATTGAATTAATTAAAAGTGACATGCAGTCCATTAATCTGATAATGAATCCAAAATTATTGACTTGAAGATCACTTTTAGACATTAACGATTCAATAATTTATTTTTTATACTTTGAACCGTTGACATACTTTCGTAGTAACGAAGCTCTCGCACTTGAGTTCTTGAAGAAACTCAAATCCACGACACTTAAATCAGCATATTGCATTCAGTGTTATTGCAGGAACCTCTCTTTTATGAACTAAACGTTCATAAACTAAATTGAACCTATAGTTTCAAATTGAGTGCCTTTGAAACCCGAAGGTTTCATAAAACAATACATCCATGAAAACCCAACGTTTTTCATAAAAACCATGTCTTAGCACTCGAATGTTCTAACTTTGATGCTTATGGATGATTCATTCCCATATCACCAATCACAATCTTGTTCCCTTCATTTACTGGATTGTCGTACCGTAACAAGTTCGATTTTCCTGATTTGGACGTTTCTAATAGAAACCACTTTATATAAGTACAAGAAGTGAATCTCCACTTGACTATCAAGAAGCTGACAAACCATTGTAGCCAACGATGGTAAAGAAGACCTGAATAAGCATCCGCC